TTTCAAGGCACAAATCATCCACTTTTCAATTGATACCACCTTCATTTGACTAATTGAATTATCAGTAGCATTTGATATATTACCAGTACATGACATAATATTGCTTTGGAATGAAGAATGTAAAACCTACAAATGTACAGTATGTACATTAGATGGATAATTGCTTCAAATTGTGGAATTGTATTTCAATTTGTAATGAAATCACTATTTTGAGTCCAGGGCTGTTCACATCTGATTTTATTTGGCTAGGTCAAGGATTAACAGAACCAATTCAAACTTTGAATTGAAAATATTTGGCATCTGCTCTCATATTTACCCCTCTTTTGAGGTAAATGTCTACAAGTGCCCCAAAAAAGTATGTCTGTCTTATTCCAAATTGTTCTAAAATGAATTATTTAAGATTTCCTGTACTTGTAAAAAGTGAAATTTCCTGGCAGGACTTCTGATGAATAATACTTTTTTGTGTGTGTATTTTTTAAAATCCTGTGCTCACTCTAGAAGAAAGCAGAAAAATCAGAAAAGCATACCTGTGAAAGTTTAAATAAAACTGGACAAAAAATGAGATTATTTATTTTGAGTAGTGCACCAAGGGTTAAAGCATTTTGAAGAAAAACAAAAACAAATTGATATTTGTGTACATGACAAACAGGAGAGTTATCCGTCAATACGTCACAATCCACTGACAAAATTGCCAAAGTGAGATTTGCAAAGCTGTAGTGACCCTCACATTTCAAACATTTGTAACCCTCTTATTATAGGTTGGATCTATCTCAAAATTTTGCCACTCTGTTTCTCTTATCTTTCTGCTTTCATTCAATGAACTTATTAAAATGGTTGGATTGCCCTTTATAACATGTAGTGCTCACTGCTAATGTGTACTTTCTGACTGCTCTGAATACATCCAATCACACTGAATGGGGAATGTGGTCTTAATCATTTCTTATTATTTTATCATCTATCTGTACATATACATATATGTATGTTACATGGTATGCATGCTGTAAGCTCACATAGCCCCTCCTCTCCCCCTCATTCCTTCCACCCCCTCCCATGATATTGCTGTCAATCAGTGGGACATAGTGACCTTGAACCTCAACACGCCATTGAGATTGCTTGATTAACCCTTCTCACCTTGGAAGAAAACAAGGGCTTACCTGTAATACAGGTTCAAGTCTCTCATAATGAATCTCATTGGAGCGAATCAAAGGATTTCTGAGCATGAATACTGATACTTCTTGACCTATATACCTATGGGAATATATCAAGGCCTTAGAGTTGTATGTATTTGTATTAAACAAGGAACAAAGAAAGTTATTTGCTTGGTTTGCACTTTAAAACCAAATTATTATTTTTTTTGGTTTTTTTACTGTACATAGTTTCAAATCAGAGTGTTATTTTCTTAGCTTAGTGAAACATTTTGGTCCACAAATTAGATTTTAACATTTGGGAACATTCCAGTAAAAACCCATGAACATTTATTCACCTGACCTTGAACTTAGTCTGGGGCTTCAACTTCTTGCTTGATCAAGTTTAATATGTTGAAGTTCACTCATAAGTTAAATGTAAATGTACACAGTACTCTTTTGTTTTTTTGTTAAAGATAAACTTGAGTTCTGATAAAAAAAGAAAATGAATTCTCACAGAATCTAAAGAAACTTACACTGAATGTTCAAGATTACAAATAAATGTCATGTGCCAAACAATTTTGGAAGAAAATGTATACTGGCTGAGTAATGAGCATAGAAATATAAGGAAATCGGGGTAGTACTAGCCCCGACACCATTTGTGTTGTCCCATATACATCTTTCTGTGTAAGTGATTGTTACTTTACCAAGACTCTGCCAAATTTATGATGATTTTGATGACTCTAGAACCTTGCATTACACACCATTACTTACATGCTATATGATCAACTTTTCTGATCCACACCTTTTCTTTCACAATGCAATCGCATTACCAGAACTCAAGTTTATCTTTAATGTGCTTATGAGGCAAGTTGGCCTTTTTCCTCTAACTACGATTTTTGTTGTTGACAAGCTTGATTTTTTTTCTTCTAATTTTTAATGATGTTTGTAGGATAGAAGCAGTCAAGTGTGAGGAATTATTTGATATTTGTAAAAACATTCTGGAGTTATGATAGAGAGGGAAAACATCTCTCAAAGATTGATCCCTATTATATTGAGAATGTGTGTACCCAAAACAAATCTGAGAATGAGAGAAAGAAGGAGAAATGAATAAATTCAGAGTAAGAATGAAGGAAGGTGTGAGTGGGTGGGTGTAACATTAGGAAGAGAGTTGAATAGATGCCTTGTAGTATAAGAAACGATTGATATACAGCATGTCTTGCTCCTAACATTCGTCATCAATCTATAAATTTCCACGGGGGATATCGACTGGCTTGTGAAAGTAGTTTGCTGGAGATGGAGCATGTTTCAGCTCCGGAAGCTTCCTGTATCATGCGCACTGATTTACTGTCTGCATCAATAAATGTGCAGGATGTTACTTTCTTGAATAACATTATCTGAGAACCACCTGATAAGAATCTTCAAGAAGAAATCTATTGTAAATTTTTTGAGTTGATGAAATTTATATATATTTTTTAAGTTCCTGGATCAAATTTTATACATGTACATGTACCTGTAGGTCAAAATATGAATCATAATTAGGTACAATCTCTACCTTTTTTTTTTATTGGCATAAAGTATCAATTACTTGGTATTAAAGTGTGAATGTAGATGTTGGTGGAGGCCTACTGTACATGCAACTCTCTACTAATTTTCATCTTCTTCCGTTACCTTATCCATTTGAGTGTGCGGTGCATGCATATCATTTTTTCATATGGAACAAGAATGTGATTATTTATCCAAACATTGCAAGTCCCTGCCTAATGGACAAGGCAAGCGTGGATAGCATGTATAGCATGCATATAATGGATGTTATCTTGGTGAGTCTCTGCTATCTTAGCTAACAACAACTACCACTGCAAACACTCACTAATGGAAAGGATCCATAATGTCACAAGTTCAACAGTGTTTGTCTTCTGGCTCCACCTTGTCTCCCTGCGATTTCTGTTTGCGTACAACTAACTACATGTACAAGTCGTTTTCGTGTAATAATGTTGCCTGTTTGTATTGAGGAAGTTTTTGAAATGTTAAACCATCGCTACATGTATGTTGTAAATTTCTAACATGTAGTTGAACTCTACACTTCACCTACATTGTATGGACACAACAATATATATACGTACATAATCCAAACGCAATGTCAAATCCATTTGCAACCTATAAACCCAACCCTACATTTTTAACTAGTGCTGTAGTCAAACGCCCATGGCGGATTCCGTTTTCAATTGTTTCATTTTCCCGTTTTTTTTTTTTTTTTTTTTTTTTTTTAATCGTTTAACCGAAAACCGTCCGGTTTTGACTGGCAGTTAAACGGAATTGGAGATATCCGTGATGTTACAGCACTATTTTTAACAAAATATGGATTGGAGCAAATGTTTGATAAATATTTCCTGAGTGGTGGTACAGTACATTTGCATTGTCTTAAATTGTATAGAAAGATCTTGTGAAACACAAAGACTATTTACACCCGTAGCTTACCATTCATTCCACACATGAGGCCTTTAAATGTCAACATGTACATGTGCAAATACTTGGATGTTTGTGTATGCATCAGTAATATAATGTTGGTCTCCATACATGTACATGTATTACTAGGAAGTAAGGAGCAGGTGGCCCTGTAGTAGAAGGAGCTAGAGCTGATAGGATGAAATTGTACATGTTTGAAATATTGTTTAACTTTAACTACATGTAAGTTTAACTAAAATATTTAAAAATTGTTGAGTGTGAGCATACATATAGCTTTGACCACTTTGTGTTTTTATGTGACGTGTATTACCAATTGGTATTCATGTTTTATGTTTTATATAATGAATCTGTGATTTTGAAATGTAAAAGTATAGATTACATGTATGAAGAAAGATATGATAGATTCAATTACCAATTAGCCTATTTCCTGACTACCGTTCTTATAAATTTTTAATGGATTGTTTTGTTTACCAATGAGAATGATGATTAGTACAAATATGAGATCATTTTATTTTAACCATCCTCAAAAAGACTCTCACAAAATCAAACAAATTTTTGTTCTGTTACTGACCAACGCTTTATTATGCTCGAAAACCTTTTTGCTTTAAGAATCTTGTAAACAAACAAAACCCTTGGTTGGATCATGGAGAGCAAATACAACGACAGACATTTCCTGTCACCCAATACAGTCTCTAGAGTCTTGGAGTGATACATGGTTCATGGCTAAGGTTCAGAGGGTACTGGTCCCATACACTGTCTTCCGTTTCATCCCCAGGGCTATCATTCCTTGAACTTAAAAGAGCTAAAAGAGTCACAGTCTCCTCCACTCTACACTCTGTCTCTGGTGAAATGATATGTATTTACCGCAATCTCAATTTGCAGATTAATGCCATGTCGATGCATTGACCTGCATGTGTCTTTGAAAATGTTGAAAATTTCAAGAAATGTCCATGTAATTGTAAAATGTCCAAGACGTGTAGTAAACAGGAGCTTTATTGAGCCGCTCCTGTCTCAGAAGTTATATCTTGAACATCCATGTTCTTTCCAATAATGCTTTTTAACAGTTTTAATGTGCTAACCAAATTATCCAATGAAGTATACTGCTACTACTAGTGTTGAATTGTAGGCTTACTTCCTAACTTCTTTAATGGGAACTAGCTGTACATATAATGTTGTCCTGCATTAGTACATTTTTCTTGTCCCTCTAAATTGGTTGATTGATTGCATACATGTATGTTTACATACAGTCATCGAGTATGGAGACTGCAGAATTACCCCCAATCTTCACTAACATGCTCGCAATTTATTTCCATTATTATTTTTATGCTTGTCACTGTTCTAACTCACAGAACAAGATAATTGATTGAATACTGTTCTCTTTTTTTTTATGTCTCCCCCTTCTGTGTGCAGGTTAGCCATGAGTCATGAAGCAGAACAAGTTGACTTGATATTGATCAAGCTCTCAGCCTGCGCGGGGTTGTAAAACACTCGGCCATTCAGTGGTGATGATCTTGGACTGAACCCAGCCTCATGTTGCTCAGAAGTTAGTCATCGTGTTTCACCTAACTTGTGCTGGGTCCATTGTACAATTTGTTAACAGAGCTGAGCCATCCTACACGCAGTAAAACACAAGCAATGACGCTTTGAGTGAATTGGCCAGTGAATTGTGCGGGAAGGATATATTTATTGGCTTGAGATTTGTAAGACAAAATGTAAGATTGGAAAGCTGAGTTTGAGTTGAGAAACAATGGGTAGTAACCCTTCAAGTAACAGGGACTCTGGTGAGTCCACAAGAGAGGAAGGTGGCACTGCCAGGGATCATTCAAACACCATGTTCCCCTCGTCACATCATGGACCCATAGGAGATGAGGTCTTAGAACCTCCTAGCCAAACACTGCCATCTCCTGCAAAAGTGGACAAAGTGAAAAAGAAGAAGCCCACAAGCTTCTCCTCACTCAAGAGGAGAATTGTGAGAAGAAAGACTGCAGGTAAGTTCCAGGATCATGCTCGGTCCATACGGGATCTCATAGCAACTTGGAATCCTCTGGATGTGTGTTCACTCATAGAGGAATATGATGCTCTGGCAGCTCTCAAGGAAATTGCTATTCAGACAGACTTGGCTAGGACATCGGCCTCACCACTCAAAAATGACTTGTTGCAGCTGTTTAATAGTAAAAACTGTGCAGATGTGAATTTAATCTACAAAGGATCAACATTCCCAGCTCATCGTGCCATACTCTCTGCAAGGTGCGGTTTCTTCAGGGAACTCCTGCGGAGGAACCCGACGGTAGGTGCAGAAGTTCCAGTGGACCTTGGTTGGTCAGGGGTAACAGTGAATATGTTTGCTTCGTTACTCAGATACTTGTACACGGGAGAGTTTAACACGGAAGATTCGCAATTAGAAAACTTTGATGTATTGATCAGATTAGGAGAGCGATTTGGAACACCGAATGCACTTGAGCACGACTTCAGAATGTTACTGGATACGGGCAATTACGGAGATGCTGCACTCGTTTTTTCTTGTGATACTGAATCAGTTGGAGTGACACGTGCCATAGAGGCATCAAGGACATCTGTCGGGAGTTCTGTTAAGTGCCATAAAGCCATCTTGTCTGCAAGATCACCGTTCTTTAGAAGTGTTCTCCAGAGGAGACACCAGCAAAGCAGTGAATCTAGTGCAAGGACGTTGCCAAGCATAACACCCATTGTGCTTGATGAGTCAGTGATACCCAAAAAGTATGTTCATGTACTGTTGTATGCCCTCTATCAGGATGTAGTAGACTTAAGTCTAGTCTTGCCAGACAGTCCCAGTGTAGGAAGCCTTGGAGAAGCTCAAGCCATGGCATCGGGAAGGACACCACTTACTAAAGTGGAGCAAGCCATGGAGTTGTATCAGATTGCAAGATTCTTGGACTTTGCAACTATGGCTCATGGTAAGAAAAAGAATCAGAATTGAAATTTATAAATGTGTCGCATTAATCTAGCCTATATTTTAAAGCATTCATATTCATATTCATATATTTCATGTCCTCTTTGAAAACGATTATTAGCTAGAGCTTTTTGTGTTTTGTATTTTGTGCTATAAACAACTGCTTGGCCTTCAAAAAGTAAAGGCTTTTAACATACAGTATTGCAAAATCTGCTTGTATTCAGATTGTTCTGAAAGAATTCAGTTCTTTGTTAGAATAACAAACTGGAGGTAAGTTATTCCAATGATATATATATTCACACCCTAAACATACTTGACAGAAAATCAAAGGTCTTCCTTTTCTTAATGTACTACTACTGAAAATAATGAATATTGAGCCATGGAAATGATTGAAATTTGATCGAATATATTCATGTACATGAATCATATAATTGACTTAAATGATAATAATAATCTGAATTAAATAATGGTAAAAAATTATCTCTTGGCTGTTACAAAATATACTCTGTGTCCATTCATCTTCCAGTATGAAACAAAATGAATTCATTTCAATGCTCTGTTCTTTTCCTTCATTCACCCTTTCCAACCACCACCCTTCAGCTTGTGAAGACATCATAGCGCGGAGCATCACCACAGAGAACCTGGTCTCCATCTTGACATGGAGCCTGGAGCCCCATGGATCCCACTGGGTCCACCGGCAGGCTCAGCAGTACCTGCAGGAGGAGTTCTCTGCTGCAGCGGCATCTCCGGTTCTCTTTGAGCTCCGGGAATCTCAACTCATTATGGCTCTCAAGTCCGACTTCCTCCAGGTATGGTAGCTTTCAAACCAGAGCAAAATAACACTAAGCTCCTATAGGAAATCTATTTATTCAGATGGCTATATCTCAGCCAATACTTAACATATTCAATTGGTTTTCAACATTTGGACATTATTTTTTAGGCCCTTTCGGAAAATTAAGAAAAATTTGAGAAATTCTAAAAATAGATTTGTATGATGTCACAAGCTCCGGTACTCTATTTCTTGTGAAAGTGTGGAGTTCTTATGCTGTATCAATATGCTAAGAAAACTGTATAGTATACTTTTATAGTGCTTAATAGTAGATTGATTCTGTACAGTTGTTTACATTGAACTTTTTATTCTGTAAAATGAATTTCTAATTTTATTCAATACTTTTGAAAAACAGATGGTATAATTGCCCATAATTATTGTAAAATCTATATTGTCCACTATATGCTATACCCATGTTCCGTTGTGTTATGAATAAGAGAAACTTGGCCTTGTACAGAATGTCTTGCACGATTAGGACAAATTAATACATTCCTTCAATAAGGCTCTCCGGGAGGGTTGTTCAATTTCAATGTCTGGGGGATTATTTCCTCATTTTGATATCCTCTTAAGCATGGTAGATTAATCAAGAATGACAGAAAGCAGCTCTCCAATGAATCGTACATGTACAGTGTAGCCTGAGCAGCCTTACAAAACGTAAGCTCTTCCTGCTGTGTGTGGCCACCAGGATATTAAGGTCTGTGCTGCCAAGGATATTGTCTTTCCTTACCGCCCATAAGATGTGGGGGAAGGAGAAGGAGATTGAGCAAGAGAAAAGCACAACTCTATATGTCTCTGTTCACTTGAAATCAAATAGAGGTCAATGTTATTGCAAAATAAGATATTACTGGGGCCATGGCTTGTTGCCTTACTCAATATTACAACTCCTTCTTAATTACGGTTTGCAGATATGAAATTTATTGCAAGCACCAATAACGAAGCCCTGGGTTGTAGGGTTTAATTTTAGATAGACTGCTTGACAAAATAATTTTCACTGCTTTCTTTATTAAAAGTCATAGAAGCAAGGCTGACTTATTAACTGAATTGAAAAGTATGTCTAAGATATATACAAAGATTATGTAAAAGCTTTAAAATATATTTGCTGTCCATGGGATGTGAGATATATCAGCAATTTTGTGCCAAGAGACCTATTTCATAATTCCACACATATCTGCAGAGTGTACAGTTAGAAAAAAAGAAGCTTCTGACTTTCATTCCTACGTATAATTAAAAGTTCATTCATTCTGATTGATTCTTCCTACTACTCTGCATCACTTGTAGCAGATATCATCAGGAAATATCATCAGTCTTGGATTTAAAAGAGAAAAAAAAAGTTATATTTGTAATACAGAGCAAAACCACAGGGTGGCATTACAGATGGCATCAACATTAATGCTATGACCCACTTTCTCTTTTTGAACAATTGAAACTGTTATGCGTAAACATCTGTATTTCAAAAACTCTGCATACATGTGTGTGAAATACATACTGTGGTGTAGCTTTTTTTCCTGGGGGAACTGCTGTTACATGCACTGTTATGATGCTGGTTGAAAAGTAATCTGACAAAAAAGAAGTAAATAATCACACTCAAATGTTCAATATATTCATACACCCCTTTTTTTGTACACAATGTCAAATGCTTACAAAGTCATATAAGTGTACATTTACAGTATATGATAAACATATTACTATAGTGTTCAGTTTGATACACTAAAATCTACATATAAATGAATGCTTGATAGGTGTAATGAAACAACCAAAGAACAAATAACCAGGCTCTGAGTAAATCAAATCAAAACTAACTGTTGAAACCACAGACTCTGTGGTTTCTTTGTTGAGCAGTTTTGACATTAAATATGACAGAAGGAAATGCATGGTACAGGATTAAAGTAAATGAGGCAGACATACAGATTTGCTGATGTTTCTAGATTCTAAAGCATTTTTCTTCTTTTTTTCTGCTGATTATTTCCTATTCAGGTTGCTGAAGCAGATATTCTGAAAGCAGTAGTAAGATGGGGAGAATACCAGCTCATAAAGAGGATGGAAGAGAGAGGTAAATAATATGCATTAAACCCATTTCCTTTACAGCTTAAAATAGTGATTACTATTTTACAGCATTTATTTTAATTTCATACTTGAGTGTACTGTACATAGTCATGTGTTATTGGTAAGCCACCACATGCAATCAAGTGAATATCTAGCATCTGTAAACTTAATTGCTATGGGATCTGGTTGCAATAATAGGACACAAATTTAGGAATTAAATAAAACCTGATATGAACATTGGAATAGAATCATATTAAGAATCCATTATTAGAGAAATTTATATACATGAGAGAGCAACATCAGCACTTTCTGTAAAACAAATTACATCAAGGTCAACAACATATAGTTTAATACAGTAAAACAGTGACTGAAGAGAAACATAGTGACAAATGCTATAATTTGATACAAACTTTATTTATTTTCACTAAAATTCTGGTTAACATGAACACAGCAATGTAATATTTAAATCTTGGGAAATTATATCTCTCATACAGTTTTGTGTCCCCCTTTGAAGTTGCATGCTATACCTTCCATTTAGTGAAATGAATTTTCACCGTTATCCAGAATACCATGCTGAAATCAGGCTAAAAATAAGCTTTATCAAAAGGGATATCAGAGATTACACTGTTACAGAATGTGATTTGGTTCCAATAACTTTCTTGATTTGATAATTTGATACATATGACCAACTGCTGATTAAATGCCTAGAGATGAGCAATTGAAAAGAAAAAAATTGCAATCAAATCAAGTTACTTAATACCACATGTGCATGTTTGTGGTATTGAATTTCAGATTTATTGATTTTTTTTAAAATGTATATTTACATTTAAAATAATGGGTTTTATTTGTATAAAATCCACTTTAGAACAGTAAGCAGAGGCAAATATTCTCTTACAGCACTATATAAACATACTCTTATGCTTCTTCTGATTTCAAACGAGCAAGGCTTACCTTACATGTAGCTGTAGTGTTAAGAGTTAAAGAGACGTTTCCTGCCATAGCTTAATTGGATTGTAATGAGATAATTGCTATCAGATGAAATATCAGCCCATACTGGGCACTGATTGAATTTTAATGCATCCAATTGATTAAGGACTATTGCATGTCAGCTCCAATATTAAAATAGCTAGAAATAATCAATTCATGTTCATTTACAATTTATTTCCTTATGATGAGAAATAACAAACACTTATTATTTTTGTGTGGGTGCTAGCCTTTTTATTTTACCCTTTCCTTTCAAAAATCTAGAAATATGATATATAAAGAAATTTTGCTGTCTGATTCTCTCCATGTATCTTAGCATGTTTATATTCATCTTACCTGGATTGAGGAACTAATCTGTTTTGTGTTAAAACAATATATATTTTTTCTTCTCAAAATAAAAAGCCGACAGGACAGGCTTATAATAATGGTATTTAAGGATGTTTTGGGAAAGGGCCCACTATTGTGTCACTATTGGTTTCCTTCTCTTTTAGCCTCGGATAAAGATATTTTTTACACTTTTTGATGCAATACTCAATAAACCCAAAAGTGCATTATTACAGGCACCATGCAGTGCTATTATGTACATATTGCCTATTCAGGAGTGGAAATCAGTTGCGCCATTATTGACTTTAAGGCTTCTTCAAGAAAGATAATACCACTGTCCATTCATGATGACCAGGGATGGTCAACTCACCTTGAACTTTCGCTCTGATTTCTGGAAGCTTGGTTATTAAGTAAACACACAATTTCATTGAAAACATTGATTGCTCGTGGAAGGCAATGGTTTCATAATTTAGACAGAGCATAATAGGAAATACAAAGACAGTTGTGATATACCTCCTGAACGCATGATATTGTGTAAAGGTGTCATTAAATGCTGTATTATAGTGGGGTATATAACAAAGATATTGTTCTAGTTTTGAAATTCTTTAAAATCAAGGTAATAATACTTGTTTAGAAGTGAAGGGTATGATTACATGTATAATTCTTTTTTTTTGGGGGGGGGGGGGGGGCTAGAGAGCTTACAGTAGATATAGCAATTACTGTTTTATTTTGTTGACTTCATGTATCTCAAGCCTTAATATGTACAGTGAATTATCAATCCAAGAGCTATTTTAAAAGTAATATCACAGAAATATGACAACCTTGTGGAAAGGGAAAAATGAGTTGGAATTCAACATTTCATGACCTGTTCTATTTTTGTTTTGTAATCCACAACACTCCCTTCAGTTCACAGAGAAAGTGTGATGTTCCTTGTATGCAGGCATTCTGTCACACCTCTGTGCATTATTTTGAATGTGAAGGCCATCCATCCCCACTTCCAATCATTGTCTGATTGGATCGTAGCCCAGCTATTGTCCCCTACCTTTGGCATTTATCACATCTGCATCCCCTTTCCTGTCACATTACCCCGACCTTGAAATTTTATTTAGCGCCCAAACTATGTCAATGTCGCTCTCCAGGGATTGTCTGGTGATCGATTCACAATTAGGTACTTTTATTAAATGAGTTTAATCTGATGCTGGTTTGATTTTATTTCTGATTGCAAAATAATGTTCATTTGGATAGAGCGAGTACATTGTATTTGTTAGAAGAGAAATTTCTACTAAAATGTTTAGGTTTGAATGTACATGTTTGGTGCCTCCTGTATGTGAGACAATGATATATGTATTATTACTAAGAAAAGACAAAATGGAAATGAAAGTGCAATATGATTTGGAGGTTGTAGTAATCTAAAACATATAATAAAAAATCTGGAAAAGATGAAATAGTGACTCTAAAATAGACTTGAAAAATTGGAGGTGATAAGTTGTGATTTAGAGCAAATGTAGGACAGTTGTACAGTAGTAGTATGCATCCTCTCTGAGGCCTCAGGAAACATTTGGATGTGTTACAACTACAGATGTAAAGGGACCCTAATCAGGGTTTGATGATGTAAAACAGATGTGAATTTATAAGTAAGCTCTGCCTTGCTTTTAGATATATCTAAAGTGGTATATCAACAAGACAGACATAGGAATAGTCAATTCACTGTAAAATTTATTTGAATTATATGTATTCATTATTCTCATTTAGATTATTTTCTTGTGATAAAATTTGATGAACAGTTGGTTAATATAACCATCAATTACATTAATTTTTCTTTGCAATCAGTGTAGTTTACTGTTTTACCAAGGGGCCCTCATATTAACACAATTAAACAAAAGATAATGAATGCAAATATGTAATATATCATTTCATATGAAATTGTATTAAAATGGGACTGTTATTCTATGTATAAGCAAACCACTACCCTGACAGAAGTATGAAGTTAAGACCCCAGCCATACCAACAAGAACAATTGATAAGTTCACACTGACAAGACCAACATCAGACTTACAATAGTCCAAACCAACAAAAAAATAGCCAAGATTTGTCTACTATCAACCGGTTTAGAGTTGCTTTGGCAGTGTGACATGGGGAATGAGAGCCGTGATTTTTCTCTGATAATCTAACATTCTAATCTTACATCTTTCATTCTCCCATGTTTTCCATCACTCAGAACCCAATCTTGTGAGCCACACCCAGCACAGCGTGAGCAGAAAAGGTATCAAGAGAAGAGACCTGGATACAGGAGAACTCAGAGAGATCATCAGTAGTCTACTCCCTCTCGTCAGGCTGGAACATATCATTCCTAGGGAACATGAGGTCAGATCATAACCCATAACCTTCACATTGTCCCATCTGATTTTACATTTTCCCCTTCATGTCTCTGCTACATCTAAGCTGCCCTCTCTTTCTCTTTCTTTACATCTTTATTTGTCACCTATCTACCTCATTATATGCTCCTAAGATTATGTTCCCTTTGCTTTTTCATTTTTTTGAAAATATTACTTATTCATGATTCATATAGAATCATTAGAATTTCTGGGGGAAAAAAATTAATCTAAAACAAATTGGATAAATGATGGTAACATTTTTTTGAACTAAAAAGAACTTAGTTTAATAGCAGAGCTTCTATATTTGTAAAGGAATTAGCCATTGATGAATGTTCCGGTCATCGTAATCAACTGTTCTAAGAATTTTTTTTTTTTAGCTGTTGAGCCTTATTCTCTATACACTTGACTTAATGTTTGATATATATGTCACATGTTCTCTCATTGCAAAACTAGTCTCCTATGTGTTGTTTTTATTGTTGTGTTTATTAGTAAAGGACGAGCTAAAGTTCTAGTATATGTAGTTCTAGTGAGTAAAGTATGATTATAAAAAGCCAAATGCTTTGAAAATTATTCCATGAGTTAATGAAATACTGCAAATTTTTGCATAAGGTTAATGATCATACCATGTTTAACATTTTCAATCCATTCTTCTTATTTGCACACCAGGCTTTAACGAGTGCAGTGAAGAGAGGTCTGATTCCTACCCCGCCCTCCCACATGCTGTCTGGTGATGAGCTGGCCAAGTTGAACCCCTGGGTGAGGGGGAAGGGCAGACGCTTCTACCCGAGACCAAGGTTATTCACTCCGTATGTGGAGGAAGCCAAGGTGAGTGTGACAGGAAAGAAAGAGTTCCCTCTATAGCCCTGCCTCAAATATCTTTCAGGACATTGTCGATGAAAATCTAAGCAACCATTTAAAGGCCCTTTAGTGTGCATCCTTTATGAAAGAAACAGTAGAAAAAGAAGGGTATGTAGATAATTTTCTAAAAAAACAGATATCTGATAAACTCTTGATGTGTAATACAGTGTAGGAAGATAGGGTAACCAAAAGGATACTTCAAAATTTTACCTGTATTGCTATATTAGGTATATTCCTCGTTTCATATGCAAATACCTTTCAAGATTTAGAAAAAATCAAAGAATCTAGCTTTTCATCAAATAGAATTAAAAAAACCTGCCAAATTTCCTTTTACAGTCAAACTTGCTTCAGTGACCACCTGTCTACAAAGACTGCCTATCTAGAAAGTTCACACGTTTTGTTTCCCTTGAAAATGGATTTTCATTGAAACATGTACATTTACTATAGGAACCTGTCTACAATGACAACTTTGTGTTTCCCTTGAGTGGTCGCTATAGACAGGTTTGACTGTACTTATTAAAATTGTGCATAGATTTTGAATACTTTACTTAAAACATGCATATATAAAAACACATTTGTAGTGACAACAGGAATATATCATTATAAACATATTTTCCCTTCTTTTGAATATTGATAATACACTTTCATGACTCTTGTAGCATTTATGACCTGAAGTAGGAACAATATGTAAAGTTCTATTTGTGTTATCATGTAAATGTCTCCTGTTCCAGTGATCCAGACCATTCCATGGATACCTCAGTCACACTGCCAAACTAACTCTAAACTGACTCTGAATCAGGCCTGTGTGTGTAATGTAAGTGTTTGGTCTGTCTACAACCTATCTGGTGTCAGTCGTGTCAGTGTGACGGGGTATTATCTAAGACGATGATTTATATTTTTTGGTAAATTCTTTTTTTGCAGTGTTTCCTTGAGGAGCCAGTGGTGTCGGACATGGAGTCAGACCAGAGAGGAATCCGTATGTCTTATGTGCCTGATGCTCTATACATGCTGGAAGAGAGAGGGGAACGTTCAGACCGATGGGTTAGTAGGCCCAGGCCGTATCCTCCTTCTGTCATCGCAGGTTCATTCCCAGGTAAGTGTAAACACACCATTTATTTGAACTTACTTAACATGCATCATGAATCTAGGTTGTTCAGACCAATAGGTGAATAGGATCAGGCTGTATCATCTTGCTGATTTATTCGCAGGTGAGTGTGAACATGATGGAAATTTATTTTATATATGGAGATGTGTTCAGTCCAATGGGTTAGTAGGATTGAATCTTACCCTTCCCCTTTCATTGTGGGTCATTAGCGCTTAGAGACTTTGGTGGTTAGCACTTTATAATCACTGTTTTTATTGTTTATATTATTAATTTCCAGATAAGTGTGAACATACATTTTATGTGATATGTGCTGATCAGGCTATGCCAAAGTGGTATATATTTTCTGGGTGATGCCCTTATAGTGTGGCAGGAATGAATCAATTCAACTTGGTAGGAGGCAGTTTTATTACCTTCCTTGATGAATTGGAAGGCTTCTCTAAAATGCTTGTTTCCAATCATTCCTTGCTCTCACAGAGATACTATAGTGAATATGATGAGAGAGGGGGCTGTAGCAGTAACAGTCAACACAGAACACATTTCACTTGGAGCTCTTGTTATTTACAATGATGTGTCTTGAAGGCACCGAGTTGTGTTTGTGGTGTCTTTGCATTTGATTTGATATTACAGATTTTGAAGAGTTTTGTTTTTAATGAAATTTGTTAAAGTACACTGTGCTACTTATAGCTACTTGCGCCCTCTATATAGCAAACAATGCCTAATCGGTGACCATTGGTCCCCCATGATCCCCCTTTTTTAATGATATTTGAGAGCTGATTTGATTAGATATTCACCTGTCAATGACCATGCAGGGAGGTCTAATCCCTCCTGGTCAAACTAGTGCAGATGGGCTTTAAAGAAAAGTTTTTTGTCAGACCTTTGAATTTCCCAGTGCTTCAGAGAGAGAGAGAGAGAGAGAGAGGGGGGGGGGGGGGGGGGAGGGGAGAGAGAGAAAGAGAGAGAAGTGGATAGAGGAGATAATGAGGGGAAAGAGCCATACAAGTTGAGCAATTTTGTTATGGCTAGATTTCTCCCTGCTGCCCTCTTGTGTGTGAAACTCAACAACCTTCACAAATATTTCCCTCATCTGGCAAGAGAGGGAGCCACTCTACTTCACCCATCCAACCAGCTTTCGCGTACTTTGGCCCCAATCCAAGAGTATTGTTCTGTGGGGTCGTCACAGTGACCTGATTGGAGAATCCTTAGCTACAGCAATAATAGGTCCATCTGCTGACTTGTTTACAAAAGACAGAAGTACATTACAAGGAATGAATGTGTCTCCTATCTTTACAATGGCACATGTTCATGAAGAGTGACATAACTGTGATCCCATGGGAGAACGACGTGAAAATAAAGAAAAGAGTAGAGGGGAGGGTATGAGACATCAAGAGAACAAATCATGTGTAGACATGAAACATCTAGGGTCTACTAAATAGTTTATAGTTTTGCATTCGGGTTTATTTTCAGATAGTTGGTCTTGCTCTTGTTTTGATACCTTCTCACATGGATGTTTGGTTACTATTTTTATCTGCCCTTTGCCTCTACCTTTACCTTCATATTTTACTCCCCCGCTTTTATTTTTTCATTTCTTCTTTGTTTTCGATCACCCTGTATCGATAGATTGTTACTCCAAAATCAGTTTTATTGTTTGTTTATTCTTTCTCCATTGAAACATTTCTATCTCACAAATGAGATCTAGCATTAAATGTAGTTTATGAAGATGCCTTTATCATTTTCTAGCAGTAATCTGGCATCTAATGTAATTTCAGGACCCATTTGGTACCAATCAAGTCAAACCATGGCCATCTCCCCCCCCCCCCCTCCCCCTCACCCGCTCTTTTCCTTTCCTCTTCTTTTAGCAGAATGCAAGGCCAAATGTAACATTGCCTTCAAAATAACGTCACTCATAGACTGATCAAAACTATGGGCTCTTAAATTCTAATATTTTATATTGTATGTATCATATTTGTTGCTTGATTAGGTTTAAATGTAATTTTGAAGATGGTATTTTCTTGCAAACCCTGCACTAAGTGCATTAACTCTATGTAACAGTAGATGTAGATGTTCAATCAAATTAAATTTCATTCAAGGGCATCAGGACAATGGCAATGCTGGTGGTACCGAAGGGGAAGTTCAATTCTATGCAGAAGGGGAAGGACGATCAGTAGGGCTGTTCACACAGAGCTAATCATGCATTTTTTTTCATCATGATCAGAATTTCTCTTTTTCAATTTGTGAACAAAAATTTTACTTAGTTGTGAGATCCTAATCATGATTCAAATACTAAGAACAGTGTTTTTTCTTTAAATTAAAGAACAGGAATTTCATCCTCTCCTTGCATTGATCACACAAAGTGAAAGTGAGATAAGAAAATGTATTTTTACAGTATCTCACATGTGAACAGCCACAAGAAGATATGAGACTTGAACGATCATTCAAATCTCCTTTATTCTCGTGTGTGAACAGGCCTAATACTTAGTGCTTTTCCTTATAAAATGAAAACAATGGGCAATGTAACTGTAGAAGGTGAAGGTCGTCTACCAATGACCAATAACAACACAGAAGTTTTATGACTTTAGCAGACTTCACCATGCATTGTACAGAATCTAAGGATGAACAAATTCTCTCACAAAAATAACATGTGTAACGAAGATGTGTGTAAAGGTTAAACAACTAAGGAGGAAATCAATCGAACTTGTGGTTGAAAAAAAATCAGATACTTTGTTGACTCTGGAGACTATGCCATCCACTTAATTTTCCACCCTAGCTGTGCAAATACTCTGTTTTCATTATAATTCTGTGTTTTTAATGAAGAAGACATGTATATGTTTGTAGCAATTTGAAATCTACTTTATATATAAACAATATATATTGGAATGTATGCATGCACTTTCATTCCAATATATGAAGAGAAAGCATAAAACTAAATAACATACATGTACATGTGCATGTACATTTAGCACCTTTCTCTTTCTCTTTCTGTTCTATGACCTTAAGTAAGCTGTTGACTTGGGGATTCCCCACTTAGTAGAAAACCATCAGCAGACCATCTGGAATTCTTGGCCTGAATTCAATATCTGTTTTTGAGCAGGGTAATGATTCATACAAATTGTGCGTCATTAATACAAGTACATCTTCCCTAGCATTTATAATTTGTTTACAATTATTAACAGTGTTTGTGACATTGAGCAAGATTAATTGATATTATTTGAATTTCATAAGGTTTATATTTTCATATTAATTACACAATTATTCCTAACATCATCAACCATTACAATTTTTTAAAAATATAGTTAGTTCATTTTGAGGTATAAATGCATCATCACCACCCCTAACCAAGACACATTTAACCAAGACACTAACACAGACTGCCAGCTTAGTCTGCTATTGCTATTAAAAAGTGATCTTACAGTCACATGCTAGAAGTGAACTATGATCTTTAGCACGGCCCCAATTAATTAGGTATGATAGCAGCCAGAATTAACTGTAAATTAATCTCAAGTCGTTGCCGATGTGACACTTCTTCATTTATGCAGGTGTGTAGTCTAGCAGGTTGTTTATTAGAGATCATAGATGGGAAAATCAGATAAGAGTCCTTCACATTGCTTAAAGGCCTCATCGTTCCTTAGATTCTGATTAAGATGGAGTAGTAAGAATCTCAAAATGGGAACACCCGTCCTTCACATTTCATATGAAGGCCCCATCTTTCCTTTGCATGGAGAAGGTGATATGGAAATGGATAAAGCCGTTAACCGTCCTTCACATTACAGTTCTCTTCCTTCTTTTGTATACTAGTAGTAGAAGATGTCCTAAGGGGGAATTAACCTCTCGAATATGAAGCATTATCATGACATAGAGAGTAAAACAATTTTTTATTTGTAGGCCAAATGATATCGTCTTGCAAGTACAATAAAGAGACCCTACTTCGTCATTTTTACGATGTCGTCTGCTCCCCAAGGAAGCTGCCATTTTGTCAAAATTTCACTTAAAAACTTCTGGGTTGTGACGTATCACAAGGAGGACTGATGTAGCGCACACGTCACACATGGTATACTGCCAAGTGTTTGGCTGTAATAATTGTTCCTAAAAAAACCAAGGGGAAATCGTTTCATTGGTTTCCAGACCAATACGATCGCATTGAAATATACAAGCTTTAGGTAGCAGCTCTGAAGGTGGAGAAATTTCTGGACAAAAAGTACAAGTACGACAGGAAAAACATGTATTCTGCAGTGATCATTTTACAGTTTACAGCAGGGAAACTTACATATGCAATAGCGTTCAAATCCATGTGATACGCCACAGAACGGGCCGTGAGTAAACTCAATGGCGCCGTAATGAAAATTCTCAGAGCCGCCAAAGACAAAGGATTCTAAAGAAGATTTATGTCGTCCCTTTTGTCAAATGTATGATGTTTTATATTTTTCAGATAATGTTTTAAATGGCCTACAAACTGAAAGTAACATGTACATGTAGTTTGAGGTTAATTCCCCTTTTAGCATCTTGAAATTGGAAAAGCACATATTGTTCTTCACATTTATTCTTAATTGCGTGAATTTTTCATTTGCTCTGTTGATTTGATGGTTACAAGACCTTTGCCTTATTAAACATCATTCTACTTTGACATAGTAGATAAAGAAATACGGAATGTGAAAGGATAAATCTTGCAAAAATGCATTTATAAACCTTCTTTCTCCAGGAGAGAAAATATGTATTAAAGAATTGATGATTGAAAGATAATGTACTTATAAGGTAGCAAAAACTGACTAAATAACGTGTTTATGTTATTGGAAGTCAATGGAAAGGCCCTTCAATATTTTAATTGTAATGTTATTACTTATGCAGCAATTGCTACATTACGATATTAATGTTTCTTTTCCTTTCCAAATTCCTTTGTGCATTGAATATGCAGGTATAGTCATCATGAGAAATTTTCAAACATGAGATCTCATTTCTTTAGATTTCCTGTATGAAACTACTTTTGGATAATATCTTCAAAGGAAATCCAAACTCGATTGCAACATTACTCTAGATGAAAGCAGAAAAGTTAGAAAAGTAGACTGGTTAAAGTTTGAATAAAATCTGACAAAAGTTGAGGAAGTTATGAATTTTGTAAAGTTGTAATCACTGCAGGTATTGGCTCTTCAAATTCGCTTAATCGTGATGTCTCTGTGATATAGTGGCAGACAACTGTCCCATTTGTTCCAACTCACAAAATGACTGAAATTTTAACTTTTCAAAAGTGTATTCTCTTTAAAGGACCTACCTTATAATGATATGCTATCCATAATACAATTTTGAGTAGTGCCCCAAGGGAGAAGGTATTTGGGAGAAAAACAGAAATTATATTTTTGTTCAGGACAAACAGGAGGGTTATCCGTGACTAGTGACTACTTCACAATCCACTGACCTTGTATTTCATCAGAGCCAAACAAAAAAGCACTAGAAAATGAGCAAACCTGTGGTGATTTGATTCTAGTCAGATTGAAAAACGATTCACCACAAACAACAAACAAGTCAATGAACGCTTGAACAAGTGCCTTGTGTTCTAAGAATTCCTCTTCCCATTTTTCTTCCAAGAAGTTTTAAAGAATATTTGCTATTTAACGTGTTTAATAATGATTTGATAGCCATTTCCAATATATCTATATGTCAATATTTTTAAGGAGTACATCATGATTTAAGGAGCAATATCACTGGCAATAATCGATTCAGAAAGAGAGAGAAAGAAGGGGGCAGGAGGCATGCCCCTTCCCTTTTTGAAGCAAAATCCAAGCATGCTCACCCTCTGTGTTATTTATATTGTTGGTACTAAAAAAAATATATTTTTTTCTCTCTCCAGTTTGGTAAACCTGTTAACCAGTCTTTGAAAAGATTATGTGGTTCCTTTTTTTTTTTTATTCCATTGAATTTTGTGACAAATCCAGACCTACCCTATATCTCCTTGTCCTACCCCCCCCCTCTCTCTCTCTCTCTTTCTCTCTCTCTTTCTCTCTCTCTCTTTCTTTGAGAAAGAAATTTGTTTGAATCCAGAACATTCTGTTGATGACGGTGGCATGATTGGCATCAATATTGACTACGTGTAAATATTATTTTCTCCAGGTCTTTCTCATATTTATTCAAATTAAACATTACTTTAATGATTTGTCTGCTTGGAAAAACAGTATGTGTTATTGTCTCGAAAATTGTTCTTGTGTTGGACTAGGTCAAACAATGTTGGTCTGGGTGAAACAATGTTAATCTCTTACTAGTGTCATCAAAACCACAGAGTTCTCTTGTTAAGAAAAACCATCAAATTCTTGGAAAAATTAAGGCATAAACAGGATGTACCCTCTCCAATATCAGGATTCATGTTGCATTCATGTTCACAAGAGTTATTGGACTTTGACTGAAGGCCAAATGATGTAAGAACTTGATTTAGAACATTAAACAAGGAAAATCACCTTTAGTGAGTTTTTTCTGTATTAATGTGTAAAGGAAAGTTTTATTTCCATATACTACCGGTACTTTAATATGAAGAAAAAAAGTCCTCTATTTTATTTTTTTAAACATTATATGGAAAGCATTATGTTCATTTTCTACTTAAATAGTGGAAATAATATGATTTGACAAAGAAAAGACTTGTTAACTTACATACAGACATATAAAAGTCAGCAAGAGATAATATGGCCACTGCATGTTATACTGGTAATAAAGATTAACCAAAATATTATATAATTTCACCACAATATAGATATATTGTCCAATGTGTAGATGACATTCCTGTAAATCTCAGTGTGTAAAGAAGCACCCCTATTTTAATATTTTTTTTTTGCTTTTGCTTTTTTGCTGACTCTGTAGGCAGTAAGCCAAATCGCGTCTTATTTCAGCGTCCATAAATTTTATTAAGAGGCGCAGTTGAAGTGCTTGTGAACTTGTCACAAATAATAGTAACAATGTTACCGGTTTTTAAACATATTTGTGGCTTACACCCAGTAGATTTCTCCCAGGAAGCATTACATTTATAAAAGTATTAATGTTGTTTTTAAAACTAAAGATGACAGAGAAATTTTCCTCCGAGTCCAAACAGAAATTTGGACAGGCTAGTTTTTGAGTGGTGAATGACTGAGTGAACTGGGACCATGCTTTTTGGTGCACGGGTGATCGTCAGCCAGTACAGTGCTACATGTATGTGAAGGGGCATAATAAAATAAAAATAAAAATTTTCAAAAAGAAAAGAAAAGAAAAAAAATCTTTTCCCTTCAAATTAGGAACATAGGTTAACTTCAAATAGTAGATCCTATTCTTTATTCACATTATGTAATTTATGTCCAGACTCAGAGATTATCGAAAACCACTAAGAAGTTGCATTTTTAGGACTCAAAATATCTTTTTAATTTTTCGGCGGAAAAAAAATGTGTCATTTACACAGAGATTTACGGTATCAAAAGGTGAGGGTAGCAGCTGTTTTCAAGGGGAAACTTAACACTTTTCAATGACATCCTATGCTACCGTTGCCAGCATATATGTTATCAATCACCGGCAATTTTATCTTGTATTCTCTGACTGTCTGTCTTACATATATTAAATAGATAAATTAATATTTGATACCGGTAGCTTTAAATAAGCTGCTACCCAGGGCGAAAGCTTGGAAATATCGCATGTAAATCTCTTTTCAAGCTGACTCTAGGTGCCTTATAGTCTCCCGTTGTTGAAAGCTATAGTCATAATTTCTGGTCAGGATAGTATACTGGTACCTAATTAGGAAATCTAAGGTGCATGTGTATTTCTATGATGTGATTAGAAATTATGAGATTAATCCCAGTAATGAAATAGTTAATTGGGAGCGTTAGCTGTGTTAAAGCATATTCTGAGAATTAATGACCACTGCTCAGGAAGGTTAACTTTGGGGAGGAAAAAGGAGCGAAAGTGGGCTTGTACTTCTGAAATGTTAGGTCAGTTGATGTGAACATACATAATGATTATACTAGAGTATCATGATGATTTACTTTTAATGGCAATTTATCATGTTGATTCAGACAATAGACATGGGGTTGTTTCAGGGTGTAAATATGATAACTGCAATTGATTCAAAGTCTATATTTTTTCTCTCTTTTGTTTGTAGCTCCTGATGAAGCTACTGTGAAGGCCATGCGAGCCAGAGAGAAAGAGCTCCAGCGTTCAGTTGCGGCCAAAAGGGCCTTCTCCTTACGCTGCACAGACCATGCAGCAGTGACCAGGGAAGTCCATACCCGCGTTGTTCGAGAGTTTGGTTTCCCTGACGAGGCTGTGGAAGTGTTTGATGGCCCAGCTGAGGGTGGAGACTATGAGGGGCAGGGATCAGGGGGCCTGGATGATAGTGATCTGGAGGTCTTTGGACGCATGTGGAATGATCTGCCTGATCTTCATCATCGGCATGAGCCTGCACATCATACAGAGGTGAGATGTCTTTAGGGAGCTGTAGACGCATTATTTACAGAGATGATGGCATGATTTGTAAGGAAATGGGTATGGTGGTATATGGACTAGACAATAACATGGGTTTGAGAAACATCGCCCCCTGAAATTGCACTCTGGACCCAAAAAATGTCAAAATATTGATAAGGAAGTGGTGCACATGACCCCTATGATATTTTGTTGTGGACCCCTACTACAAAGGGGGTGAGGGTGAGGGTGAGGGTGAGGGTGATGATGATGATGATGATGATGATGATGATGATGATGATGATGATGATGATGATGATGATGATGATGATGATGATGATGATGATGAAATGTAGGTTGGCTTTTGACAGTAAAAATTGTAATAATTGCATACTGTAGCTGAAAGCTGTTGTTTATGCTCGGTCTGCACTGGAGTGTTTACATGAATTTGAAATTTCTGATTCCACAATACTCAACTGAGTTCCACTCCCATTCCTGACCTCTTTCTAGTATACAGGATCTGAAGACTTGAAAAATAAGTGGCAAAGAACTTGAGAGAAGTGTTTTGACTATCCAGCAATTCCCAACTCACCAATATTAAATTTGGTGTCCTTTGTAGTCACGAGCCCATATTTATAATCCAAGATATTTTGTATGAAGGGGAGATTATCTTACCCCATCCCTGCTTGAAACCTGACGTCAATCCAATGAATATTTACCCCAGATTATTACTGTTGCCAGAGTAATTGGACTACATTGTCAAACCCCCGAGTCCGGAGTAGTCGTATAAAGTTCAGTTTTTAAAAGCTTCCCCTCCACCCTCCTGGGGTGTTATTACCATCTTCCTAACAATACTGAAGCTACAAATCAATGCAAAACACATTTGTTAGTGCAATCTCATTAGTGGAAAGTTAGATTCATCATGGTGAAGTTCTCTAGGGGGTCCCATTTTGGATTTCAGTGGGATCTTGAAGCTGATTTTTTACACAAATTAGTCAGTGATGAGATAAATTCCACCAAGGCTGTTTTCAATCCAACACGTCTTTGTGTAGTCACTGCAGTGTGAAAGCTTCTTTTCCTTCTTTAAACTTCTATAATAGGCAAGGCTTGAGACAAATTGTATTTTGTATATTTGTTCCGGTTTGTTTCAAACTTCCGTCACTCTGATTTTTCTGCTACCATACAATTTAACTTTTTACAAGGGTTGGAATGGCCTTTAAGAATATTGCCCCGTAAGAGTTTGGGAAGTATTATGGTATTAAGAAAGATGCGATTATCCAGTCTTAGTTATGTCACCCATTACTTCTGACTGTTGTTGCACAATTATGAAAAGCTGATAGAGCAACAAGAATCTGATCTTGCATTTGCTCTGTCACATTTGTGAAGTAGAAAGAATGTTGAATATATTTAATTTGAATATGTGCCTAACTGCCTATCCTCATGCAGAAATTGGTGGTTATTTATCAGAAATTCTGTAATCAGAATACAATAACTAAATAGTTTTGAAAAGAAATGCATCTTCTATATGGGTTAATGTTTGTTACTTTTGAGGATACTGAAAAAAGTTCTGTATTTTAAAGATAAATACAATTTCTGAATTCATTGTGACAAGGTTACAGCCCTGTTTTGGCTTTTACTTCTCTCATTTTACTATTTTATAGGAACAATTACATATATACTGTACATGATTTGTTGTTGGCTTCCCTCGCTTCATTTTCACAAAAACTATCGCTATATCAGAACTTGAAATTCACCTGCTTAACAAAATTTCATAGGTTAGTTTCTTCTCTCTTTTTATAAAAATGTAAAAAATGAAAAACAGGTGTGCTATTACACATGAATAGATGACATTCTAAGGCAAGGAGGCATTTCAAAATCGCAGAACAAAACAAAACAAAACAACCGGATTCTAGCCGTCTAGTCTAGCTTTCAGGCTTGTATTTATTACCTTTCCTCATAATGTGTGAGCTCTCTATAAAAGGGCAGGATAATTAATGTATATTTGTAATCTCTTTAAAGTTGTATTTCATTTCATTTCATTTATTTTCCACATTAAAAACCAGATAAATATACAAGGTAAAAGATTACATTATACACATTTGACACATAGAGCAAAAGAAAACAGATACATAAGCATAAAAGAACAATGAAAATCTACATCAGTTAACAAAAACATCAACATTAAAACATAAAAAGGTGAGTAATGTAGATGGGGCTAGAAAAAGCGAAGCTTGTCGAGTCTAGCCCCGGTAGCAATGAAGGGGAAGTCCACCCTGAGAATGTGTGTGGCCAAGTAAAGGCGGAGTAAACCCATCCTCAGGGTGGACTCTCCCTTCTAATGTCTGGTTTTATAATTAGATTAAATTGACCCGATGATAACATAATTGCGATTTGAAACATAATAATAATTGTTTTTAAATTGATTTGACTATTTAGAATTGCAGAGATATTGTTTATATTTATACTTAAATTGTCGTAATGATGCAGATTGTTTGAGACTGTTATCTAAAGTAGACCATGTAAGGTAACCCTGATACTTAACACTTCTTTGGCCAGTAGCAGTTCTGTAATAAATGCTATGCAAATTCTTGGAGTTTCGAGTGTTATAACAATGTACATCACTGTTGCATCTAAACCAGTTTTGAAGTGAGTTTGGTAATAGTCCCTTTTCAGACTTGTACATAAATTCTCCCAGTTGTAACCTACCTAATTCATATACAGTCAAAACCCTTAATTGTTTAAAGATATTGTTGGTATGGGCCAAATAATGAGACTTGGCAATTATGCGTATTACACGTTTTTGCAACAAATGTAAACGATTTAACAATGTATTTGATGCATTTATCCATAGCATATTACCATATTGTAAATGAGGGAGAATTAATGAATTGTATAGCAAAAGCAGTACCTTTGACGGTAATACAAATTTCAGTTTTGACATAACTCCAGTAATTCTCGAGATCTTTAATGCAATATCATTAATATGTAAAGACCATGATAACTTGTCATCAATATTAACTCCCAAAAAGCGGGCACTATGTACTTGCTTTAAGGGCTCCACTGAATCAACAAACTTAAGAGTAAGTAAGTTCTTATCATATTGTTTATTCAATGGTGCAAAATGCATAAAATTTGTTTTCTCAATGTTTATCCTTAACCCATTCACTTTGTACCAAATATTAACCTTTTGTATTTCTTTATTCATATTATGGACAAGAGTATCTAGTTTCTTCTCGCTTAAAGAGACATTGGTGTCGTCTGCAAAAATAATGTATGACAAAGTTGAGGAAACATTCGGCAAATCATTTATATATAGAATAAACAACAGTGGCCCAATTATTGACCCTTGGGGCACTCCGCATGTAACTTCTTTTTCAAATGAAGTTGCATTATCATAAACAACATATTGTTTTCTTTCCTTCAAATAATCCTTTATCCACTGTAATGGCAAACCTCTCACACCATAGTACTCCAATTTGGATAATAAGGCTTGATGATTAATGGAATCAAAAGCTTTTGAGATATCCAATGACAAACAGAGTGAATGTTTGCTATCATCAAGGGAAGTAAGTATTTGGTCCAAAAAATAAGTCAAGGCCAATATAGTTGAATGACCAGATCTGAAGCCATATTGAAAATTCGACAAAATCTCTCGTTTCTCAATGTAAGACAATAATCGAGAGTAAAATAATTTTTCCAAGATTTTGGAGAAAACGGGCAAGAGTGACACCGGTCTATAATTACAAAACTGCTTGAGGGAGCCTTTCTTATAGATCGGAGTCACCCTCGCCAGCTTCATACTGTGAGGGAATTTACCAGTGGAGAGGGAAAGGTTAAAAATATGTACCAGTGGAGCAAGAATGAAATAGATTGATTCTTTAATGACAGAAACAGTTATATTATCATGACCAGGACTTTTACCTATTTTCAGTGCCTTCACTATATCTATAATTTCATGACCTTCTATTGGTTTCAGAAACATTGACTGTTGATATTGACCATTCATGTAAGATCTACACTTCAGCATGTCAATATTACTTGTATCTGTGAACATTGTCCCAATGCCTATGAAATATTCATTGAATTTGTTTGCAATATCAACAGGATCTGTAAGTTTCTTATTATTTTCATCACGAAAACAGTCTTGGTTCTTTCTTTTGATTCCCCTATTCAACATATTGTTAATAATATTCCAAGTTCGTTTACTACAATTACTTTCTTCAAACTGCTTTGCATAGAAAGATTCTTTTGACCTTCGAATAATTAAAGTTAAAGTATTTCGATACTGTCGGTATACTTTTTTCCTGTATGCAGAAGGGTTCTTCAAATACTTTTTGTATAGCTCTATCTTTTTCTTACATGATTTCAATATTGCTATTGTAATCCATGGTTTAGATTCCCTTTTTCGGCAACGCCTTTCTTTCAAAGGAAAACAAGAATTCTGTATGATATTAAATTCACTGAGATATACTTCATAAGCTCTGTCACATGACTCTTCATGCATCACATATTCCCAAGAGTGTTCAGTCAGGGCAACCCTAAATTTTTCAAAGTTTGAGCGAGACATGTCTCTTGTATAAGTTTTATTGCATTGATCGCGCTTAAGCCAATCACTACGTTTTGACCGATTGAAAACAAAAATTGGAAGGTGGTCTGAAATGTCTGCCAGTAAAATACCGCTTTTTAACACTAGACTTGTGTCATTGACAAAAATATTGTCAATAAGAGTTGAACTTGACTGAACTATTCTTGTTGCCTTTGTTATGAGAGGGGCATAAGAGTGAGAAAAAACCATTTCCAAAAAAGAGTTGACATGTTGGTCAGAGTGTAGATCCAGTAAGTTTAGATTGAAATCACCTAAAAAGTAGCATGTTTTATTTTCGCGACCAACTTTCTCTAGAATATTGTTAAGATCTGATATAAAGTCAACACAGCTCTGAGAAGGAGGTCTATAAATTACTGCAATTATCAAGTTTTTACTATTACTGTGAGCTACCTCGATGAAGTAAGATTCA